ACTTACACAAAAATAATAATAGATTATTTTTGTGTATGTGCAACCAGCATTTCAAGAATTTTCTTCAAGTACTTGCTTGTGTTTGCTGCAGGGTGGTGCAGCTTGGAGTGTGGCTCCACTGCAGTGGCCGTGTTTGGGTGTGTTCTTTCCTCTGTTCATTCTTTCTCCTTTTTGGAATTTACTTGGTTTCTTTTCTTTGACTAGCATAGCCTATCGTCGTGTCATTCGTGTCTATCAGTATGAAGTTGGGGATGATCTATCTGGAAGGTTTTTTCCTCTGATTTTCTTACCTCACTTTGGTTTTCAAATGCACTCTTTAATTCCAAGGCTCGCTTTCCTTCTAACTAACTTTCACGGCTTAGAGGTGCTTGGAGGTTTGTTTCCCTGTTGACTCTTTCCTTTACATGGTTGGTTCCCAGCTTCCTGCTCAGGGTTCTGGGCATGTGCTTCAACTCTTAGACCTGCATTGAATCTGAGCCTTAACCCTGTGGTGAGAAACACCCAGATGTTTGGTGCGTTTTCATTGCTACAGAGTGATTCAGCACTTGAAATCCCCTTCTCAAGAAGCTCAAAAGCACGTAGCAGGATAGATTTCAGTGGACATAAAACCTGGTTTTAGTGACTTAAATACCAGTAACTTAAGTTTTAGAAACTTAAATATCACAGAGTCGAAGAAGAGGACAGTCCACCTGCACAGCGCCCAGACTTGCTGTCGTGCGCAGGTCGTTCATTACAAACTCTCACCGTATGTGTGGGAAGGACAGATACCTTAAGCAACCTTTAAGCAGCAGTGTTTAGGATCCTGGGGAGAAAAGCAGCGTCCAGAGACTTCCTGTAGCTAGTCCATGTGAAGTAGGGCTTGGAGACCATCACCATGGTGGTGATCTTTGTATGCTGGTGTGGGGGCTGCAGTGCACCGACGAGCTCAGTGTGGAAATTGGAGAGGAGCGGCTGTCCCCCAGTGTCTCTGGGTGCAGGATGGGAAAGGTGGGGTGGGAAAGGCAACTGGCCACCGCTCGCTGCTCTGTAGGAGAGGTCTGTAGTTTTCTGCAGTGATTACGCCATATTAAGATTACTTTTAAACCAAACCAGTAGTTTTCAAGATCTTTTTTCCCCCCACTTTATCGCCATGTAACGCACCTCTCTAGAGCTCCTGTACCCTACTGGCAAATCCAGCCCATCTCCAGTGAATCACCTGTAGTTCGCGTGTGCGTGTGTGTGCTGGGCACGGTGGAGTGGGGTGGGACTGCACTAAGTTTCTAATTTCATTAGGTCCAGTAGAGCGGGCGCTTTGGATCTGGCATGAAGTGTGGCTGCTGATCATGTTGGCTTTCAAATGGGGCTAGAAATTAACTATGTAAAGAAATAAGAATCAAACAAGATGTACATGTGTCAGTCTGAAATAGGATGAGTCAGAATAAACAAAACATGAAAATGGTGTCTAAATATCTCCAGGAGAACAATACTGCTGTAAGGATTTTTAATTTCAAGGAAGGACTGTTAATTTCAAGCCCCACCTGCCATTTTCTGTGGGAGAAGTGCTCTTTCTCACTGTGATTCTGTGTTTAGGTCTTGTATGGTGGAGGAATCGGGAACGCTGGAATCGCAGTTGGAAGCTACTAAGGTAAGCAATGCTCACCTGTTACTGAAACATCTTTCCCAACTGATGACTTGGGAACACAGGCCGGGAATGGAAATGCGTGTAATTACAAATCTTAATTGATTTTACCTATTTTGCGTACTGAAGAGACCTTTGGGATTATCTGTTTACGTATCTGATGTCTACTTACTTCACAAGCCATTAAGCAACACTGATGCAGTTTTCCTTTTTTGTTCTTTTTTTCTAAATGAGCGGGGTAGGACAGGGAAGATTCAGTATTCTCAGCACGTTTCCTAATAAGAGGGTGGGGGGAGTTTGTCTCAAGAACTGGTTTGCAAGCCCTGTGGGTTTCCCGTAGTGTGCATGAAGAGGAATGATGTTCTGAACAGTATTTTCCAAATCCCAATGTGTGTATACATAATCCCAGCAGAAAAAGAAGAGTATAACCCCTCCTCTCCTGCCAGCCTGTGTTCTAACTTTTTAAGGATTTTTTTTTTTCTGTGCTCCTTGATTTTCTCCTTTTCACTCCCTAACAGCGCAAGCATCAGGAGATCCGAGCTATGAGGAGCCAGCTGAAGAAGATTGAGGACCTTGGAGCAGCCATGGAAGAGGCACTTATCTTGGACAACAAGTACACCGAACACAGCACCGTGGGGCTGGCACAGCAGTGGGACCAGCTTGACCAGCTGGGGATGAGAATGCAGCACAATCTGGAACAGCAGATTCAAGCTCGGTATTGCCTGCCCTGTGTGTGAAGCGTGGCTAACCTGGGGGGAGGGGGGTGTGTGCAAGATAGGAGACACCTCTGCCCATGTCTGGAACCAAACCTTGCATGATGTGTGCTAACGAGTCTCTCCTGTGCTCTAATGGGTGCAGTGAGCGTGTAAATCCCCACCAGCTCCTGGCTCTCTTCAGAGGGGTGAAGTTAGTGGGTTTGGAAATAGTTCCTGCTGGCCATTAGTGATGACGAGATCTTAGAGGAACTGATTTATTTTGTTGAGCTGTGGTGATGTAATTGTTTGCTCATTTGTCCTCACCTGATGCAGACGCTGGCTCAGGGCAGAGGGACTCCAGCAGAGGAGTTCTGCAGTTCAGGAACTGTTCACGAGCTTTGCTTCTTCCTTTTCAGAAACACGACTGGGGTCACCGAGGAGGCTCTGAAGGAGTTCAGCATGATGTTCAAGTGAGTTGCGGGGAAAGCGTGCCCAAGGAATGCTTGTGAGATATTTCTGGCACGTGCGTGGCTCCTGTTCACAGGATTCGCTGACCGATCTGTTTGTAGCTCCTTTGTTGTCTGCACGATTTTGTGCTGAGCTGCTCTGATCTCTGCCAGATGGCAGGAGCCTCCAGAGACACCCGCTGCTGGCTGGGTGCAGCCACAGCCGTGCCGGAGCCTCTCCTGGGCATGCTCACTTGTGGGCACAGTGGTGTAGGAACTGGGAGTGCCGGTGAATTCCAGCTGGGAATACAGCCATTTTTTGGATGCTTTTTAAGCAAAGTGAAGAATCTGTGTTTACTTTTAATGTGTATGTTAGAATAATTTACTGATTCAAGCTCATTTGTCCAGACTAGTACGCTTGTTACATTCTGTTCTAGTCTTCAGCCCACTTTGCAGCTTTCAGGACTCACAACAGACACTTAAGAATGTGGGCTTTGTTTTTATGTTTTTAGGCACTTTGACAAGGACAAATCTGGACGCCTTAATCACCAGGAGTTCAAGTCTTGCTTGCGCTCTCTCGGCTACGACCTGCCTATGGTTGAGGAAGGAGAGCCAGACCCAGAGTTTGAGTCTATTCTTGACACTGTAGATCCCAATAGGTATGTGGGTGGGACCTTTTTATATGGCAAAATGTTGTATCAGTATCTTTTGGGGAGCTGGCTGGAAGCGCTCTCTCAGGCTGAGAGCTGTGCTTACCTCTCTTGTGGAGAGACCACGGTTGTTTTCACAACAGTTCATGTAAGAGTCTTCATAAAGGTAAGACTGACATTTGTGAAGAAGAAACTCCCTTCAGAAAACAATCTGGTGCTGACAGTCTCCTGTGCTAAGACTTTCCCTCCTCCCAGAAAGGTTAAAGCCGCTCTCAGAGGGTACGGAAGCGCTGTGCTCCGGGTATTAATGGCTGGCAGTGCTCACACGCTGTGTTTCACCGGCAGGGATGGACACGTCTCGCTGCAGGAGTATATGGCATTCATGATCAGCAGGGAAACAGAGAATGTGAAATCCAGCGAGGAGATCGAGAGCGCTTTCCGTGCCCTCAGCTCGGAGGGGAAGCCCTATGTGACCAAGGAGGAGCTCTACCAAGTGAGTACTGGTTGTGGCCCGCCAGGGAGGAGTGGGTGGGGAGGCTTTTTATTCACAGACAGTTAACAAAGACCTGCACTGTTGCTTGGAGGTTCATGTCACTGTAGTCAAGTCAGTTATGAACCCGCAGAGGTATCCTCTGCAGCAAACACAGAATGATGGTAATGGCCCCTCCCCGTTGCTTTCTTGGCTCTATAGAGGGAGAAGAGAAGCTTTAACTGCCAAAGAACTACTCAGATTGAGTAAAACAGGGGCTACTCTAAGGCCTAGGAAGGGGGTGCATTCACTGTGTCTGTCCTTAGAAACTCACACTTCCCTTTAGTCGTTTGGGAGACTAGAGGGAGATGTTTCTCCAGATAGCGATTCAAAGGAGGAACTTAAGCCTAAGCTTAGACACTACAAACATCTCCTCCCTCTTGTGGCCCTGCCAAGACAGCTGGTTTTTCCTGTCTGAATCCTACCAGCTGGCAGAGAAACAAAGAGGTTGTGCTGCTTCCTCTCTCCTATCAGTTACCTGTTCTGTCTTCTCTTTGGTGGGAAGACTCAGGTCAGACCTTCCAACCTGAAACCAAATAGTGCGATCAGCCACAGCATTTCCATGCCGGACGTAGTTCTGCTGCTCCAGCTTCTGCTCCGAGCTGTGTGCCTCTGGGAATGGGAGGGCTGCTCGGAAATGCCCCGTCTGCAACCACGCAGGGCCCATCTCCACCTCTGCACTGTCTTTATCTTTCAGAACCTGACCCGGGAACAAGCCGATTACTGCATTTCTCACATGAAGCCCTACATGGACGGCAAGGGCAGAGAACTTCCTTCTGCCTACGACTACATAGAATTTACACGTTCACTCTTTGTGAATTGATCTACAACACTAGTACCAAAAGGTGCACAGAACATGCTCACGTTTGCTGACTGTAGCTCTGCATGTGTCTCTCTCTCTTTGTGCTCTACAATAATCAGTGTTACTTTATGATGTAACCTTAAACTGCTTAGCTTAAAACTCTTAGGGAAAACAAACATATTGCAGTGTGCTTCAATAAAAGTTATTGGTCGAACCACATCATCTTGTGTTTAATGGCTAAAAGCAAATGTAACTGTTAAGTGGATGAAACTCCAGCTGTGGCGGCTGCGTGTGTTTTACAGGCCAGCTCTGTGGAAGAGGTGAGTGGGCAACTTTTCCTGCAGTCTGAGTAGTAACCAGCTTCACGCAGCTGGTTGTGCTGCTGCCTTAGTCCATGATCTCACTTGCCAGCTGCTCCAGATGATTCATTTCCCTGGGTCCCTGCTCAGTGAAGTCAGAACTCAGCTGCCAGACCTTGACCGTACCGGTAGCATCCCCTGCTGCCAAGAGCCGAGTTTGCTTGATGTTAAATTCTAAACAGTAGACAGGGCAGTCGCCCACGGCCTGCTTCATGGAAAGGGCTGGCTTCTGCAAGCTCTTCTCAAAGTCAAACAGGTGCACATCTCCTGTAAAGCGGAAACATTTATTGCGGCTTTATGGCAACAGACTTTGTATTTCATAGAATCATTTGGTTGGAAAAGACCTTTAAGATCATCGAGCCCAACTGTAAATTTAACAGCAGATCTGCTTAGTCTGGAACTAAGTTTTTCTTTTTAACCTGTTTCCCCTTCCCTCCAATGGGGTCTAGGCTGTGACAGATCGCTGACATCACTGCAAGACAGCGCAGATTTATTCTGCTGTTAGGGACCTGAAACCAGCTTGCCAAATTCTTTGAAATCTCCATTCCTTAACTTAAAAATGTTTTGGGTAAATTTTCTAAGGAAAAAGTTCTGGCTTTAAACCATTAGCTCTAAGAAGTAAATACCAGAAACAAGGAAGCTGGGAATAAGTTTTAGCCACAGTGCTCTTGCCGTGTTACAGCCCTGTGAAAGGCTGTGGCAACAGAAGATGTGATCAAAAGTAGAAAATAACTGTGACGGAAGTCGTCTTGCTAGAGTTAGAAATTACTCTGTTAGGCTCATTGCTCTCTGCTTGTGGGAAGTGCCAACCAGTACAATGGACTTCTAATTAATACCCAGCACAATCTTGATTTTATGTCTGAGAATAGGCACCTGCAGTTACTTGCCTTCCCCAGATGCAGCTGCAAAGACCAGTGGTCGAACTGGAGACCAGCGTACACAGAAGAGGTATTGCTTTGATAACTGAAGAGTAAGGAGGGGTTGTGTCTGCAACAGGGAGTGCAAGTGAACTTGTCCATCGGTCCCACAGCTCAGAAAGAGGTTCCTGGGGCAGGGAGGAAGCAAGAAACAACTTATTTGGTTTTACTGCTAAAGATAAAGAACAAAAATCAGTCAAGGAGCATAATCTTGGACAATATTGCTGCTTTGCAAAGGTCTGACCATGTTTCCTAAAGCAGCGCTTTCCAAGCTATACCCTGGATGTGGGCTGTAGAGACACAGCTTTATTACAGCCCTCAATTAAGCTTAATGAGGGCTCATGTTGGCCACTGAGTATTGATGGTGGGTTGGGGGCCAGAGATGCCCGAGAACTGCTAAGCTGGAGACAGGCATTGTGAGGGCTGTGTTTGTCTCACGCAAATTAAATGCAAACCTGGGCTGTCAGCAAGTTTCATAGAAACGGGGCTTGGGGCCTCTTCCATGGAAGGCAGAGATGTGAGCTTCTAATTTAAATTCAGGCAGCTGCTAGTAAGATTTCTGATGGGCCAATCGCTTAAGCACTGATAAATTACTTTTTCAGCTCCTCCCTTTGTCTTAAAATTACTCTTGACTACTAACATCTAGGATGATCTAAGGAAGGTGGTAACGTTCTCTGCTGGCCCAAGTACAAACACTATTTTGTGCTACTCATGTTGTGCCCACGTGCGGTGTATCCGAGTGGGCAGCTTCACCAGCACCAACGGATGTTGTTTCTCCTACAACAGGAAGTTAACTTGATCAGGTTCCCGATGCCAGGTGACCCTTTTTTGGAACTTATACACACATACGCCCTGAGGGCTATTTGAAAAATGCACGTGTGAAGCCAGGCAGTAACTTGTGTCCAACGTGCAGCACCGATGTTAATTCACAGCACTGGCCTGTGGAAGGGCGAGCAGCTCACGGAGTACACGGGCCCTGCGTGCGGGGAGAAGGTGAGCTCTGCTGGTGCCTTGAGGGGAACGGAACTGCCTGTCCGACGGAGAGCCAGCGTCTCTGCTGCAGTGGAGCACTTCAGGGAGTAGCCACCTTCCACACCGACGACGAACACGCGGGGATCAAAGTGTGAGAAAGAGAGCGAGGTCACACCCACGGCTGCCTCTCCCCAGGCGAACTGGGAGAAAAGAGACAAAGCTGTTGTGAGAACTGGGGCTCCACTGAAACACACATATGGTTGGAGCAGCGTGAGCCAGCCTGCCAGGAGCCCAGTGAGTTGTTTGCTGCACAGCTTGTACCAGCTACGATGCTTGTAGCACTGCTCAGCCTTCAACCTCTGCAGCATCCTCCTACAAGGGGATTCATAGGAATTAATATTACTAAAAGCAAGTTCTCTTCTCCACCCCAACAGCTTCTCTTTAGAGGACAGCAAAACCTTGGCTGTTGCCAGTCTTCCAAGGAGCGATTTCAGTACGGGAAAGGGTTAGTGCATATGGCCAAAAGGGCCTTTTCCTGGCCCTCCTCACGTGGAAGGCGAGGTCTGCATGTGGGCTCCAGAATTAAGAGTGGTTTTGTCAAATCAGCCCCCCACAAACTGCTGAACTCACCTTCTTCAGCTGAGTGCTGCGAGGGATCTGCTGAGCCACCACGGCAAATCCTTCAGCCAAGGCCAGCCAACCATCTCGCTCCTCCCGCCACACCAGGATCTTTCCGTCCGTTGACACGCTCAGCAGCCGGTCATGGTTTCTGTGCTTGGCATCAGGTAACCAGTTAACCTGTTCCAAGTGCCACGAGCTCATGAGGAGGGGGACTGTCATGACTGCCAAGCCCACGCTCAGCAGCCTGTGGTCCCCTGACCCGCCAAGAGAACATGGGAGCAGAACCAGGCAGCAGCTGGTTCCAAACCAGCTTCTGCTAGGAGCTGGCACACAGAAATGCATTAAGGGCTGATTCTGTTATTGCAGCTTCTATGGCTCACCTGCCATCGCTTTTGAGGTGTGGTATTTATGGTATTTCACCCAGCTACAAACAGCAGCATTTTCCCAACTTCCAGATGAGAAAATGCAGAGATTGCCCAGAGTCACAGTACCCCAGGAGGACAAAAACCACTAGGAAGCCAGACTGCATGACAAGTGGTGACCCTTCATGTAGCTTTAAGCTTCCAACTAAGGATCAGTGATGCTTTGCTGCTTAAGTTTTTAAACCACTACAAATGTTGTTGGCTGCAGCTGCATCAATAAACAGTTACAGCATGGGAACAGGGCTAGTCTTCATGTATCCTCAGTGGAGAGAAGTTATTTTTGCTTGCAAGTGTCCAGTTCAGCAAATGCCTGTTCAGTAGCTAGATTTGGGGAAAAGCAGTCAACAAAAAGAGAACATAACTGCTGAAATGCAGCAGCCTGTCTGAGAGCTTCAGGTAAAGCACCAGTGAGGTGAATACGAACTGAAAGCATGAAATAGAGCAATGGCAACTCTCGCCTCTCTCAGCTGCATCTACTGTACCTGATAGACTGGATCAGTGTGAGTGTCATCTGTCATCCCCGTCCTCCAGATCACAGGGTCTTCTGTTCTGCTGGTATCCCACACCACCAGCTCCCCACTGAACAGGCCACCTGAAAGGACAAAGATACCGATAAAGCATCTAAGGGCTAATAGCACATAAACACAAGTAATGCAAGAGGCACTTTGTGCTGTTACTGCAACAGAACTAGGGATAATTTTTCTTACTGCCAGTGAGTATGACCAGAGTTCTGGGAAGAGCAGTCCTTAGTGGCAAGGGTGATAAATGCACAAATGAAGCTCTGGTGGCAACAGGCCCACCAGCTTCAGAGGACTGGCAGCTGTATACAGGGCACTGTCAGCTCCGGCGTAAGGGAACAGCTCTACCCAAGCAAGTACACTCTTCACACTTACACCCAGGGCTGAATTTCCTTCTGTCATCTCTCTCTGAGATGATATAAAGGCAGATGTGACTGAACAAGCAAGTCCCAGCTCCCAGCCCAGAAGCAACTGTGTGCTTATCGATGTTGGTGAGCATTAGTTCCTCAATCTGAGGAGCTGCAACACCATTACTTCTGCAAGAATCTTAGGCTGAGCTCTGAGAGAGGAAAAAAATGATCCAAGCTGAAGGAAATAAGGGTACAGTTCAGATAGGATCTAAGGTAAGAGCAACCTACCAGCTATCAGTGAAGGCTGGGAGGGGTGGAAAGCCAGGCACATGACAGAACTGGGAACGTCCACCACTAGGTCAGGGCGCTGTGGATTCAACCCTCTTCTGTCCAGATTCCAGGTACAGACATAGGATTTTTCCGTGCTCCAGTCTCCACCGTCCAACCTGAAGAAGAGAAAGGTACATCATCTTGTATTGTTCCTCAGAGAATCCCGGTCTCACAGAGCTCTGGTATGCCCAGCTCATCGTTTAAATGTGCTGCTTTGTGGCTTGATGGAAAACTGAGGCGAAGGGATCATGAGGTGATGAAGCTTCTCTGCAGGCTAGTATATATATACAGTATGTGTCTGTACTTACAGAATAAAGTGCCTGCAAGTAAATCCCAGATACAATTCACTGTTCCAAGATCTACTAACCATTCGAATAATGGGAACAATCTAAAGTGCACATACAGACAGTTGCTGTGAGTACTTGGGAATGAAAATCCAAGACCACCAAATTACTGCTGATTTGCAAACTGCTGGAGTTACCAGCCATGTTTCCTCTAAATAAGGACTTAAACAGAGATCCAGGGGCTGAGAATACACAGCGAGGGAATAGCTTACCTGGAGGACTGATAGGGGCTGAAAAGATTTCCTGAGTCTTGCCTGGCCTGAGATAAGCAGCATGATTTGAAGTCCGGGTGCCTCCACGGGAACAGAGAACATTCTGTACAATCGCCAAATGGTGTCAATGACCCTGCACAAATCATGCCACGCACCCCAGCCATGCACCCCATCTAGAGATTTCAATCCAGTCCTATGTCCTGTTTGCCACAAGTGGCTCATTAGTACTCTGGGATGCTAAAAGACACCTGCCACTCTACTTTGTTATTTCTACCTGTTCCATTCATCACATGCTTACTGAAGTGTTACGTGTGTTCTGTCCCTAGCACCGCACTGACCGGCGTGATGTCCTGTCTTGCTACAGGGAGATGATATGGAGGGCAGAGACCTACAGAACAGCCAGTGGCCAGGACAGGAAGCAATTATTTTGAGCCTGACTTCTACTGCCTTTATTTGATGCTCTTAATTCATTTATTGGAGCAGGCATGATCATATAAAAGGAGCAATTTTTCATCCATTGGGTACTTGATCTGTGAAACTCCTTATTAAAGGATGACGTAGATGCTAAAAGTTTACAGAGATTCACAGAGACTGGGGAAGTTCATGGAAGGGAATTCTACTGAGGGCAACCACAGACATAGAAACCACATTCTAATCAGAAAACAGCTGTAGACGGGGAGAGCAGAAGGGGCAAGTAACATACAGGTTTGCCCTGTTTTACTCTTCCCTATGCATTCACTCAGGGATCCCCTTTTTTGCTGGGGCTTTTAATCTAAGGAAACAGTAGTGGAAGGAAAAAGGAACCAGGGCAGCAGTAGGGCACCAAAAGGAGAGGCTGCTATAGACATTCATTGGATTAGATGAAAATTGTGTCTAACCCTCCATTCAGAAAATCTTAAATGTTTGTTAGCACATGTCCATGGCATCAGGCGCACGCATGAATGGGTGCCAGGTTCATCCGGGGTGCTAAGAGACCACATTAAAACAGCACGATCTTCAGTGAAGATAAGCACCTACTTCCAAACCTCACCCACATATATTTGCAAGCGCATCTGCTCTTTGCATTTTCTTTCCAAACAGAATCTATCTAGAAACAAATCAGTACATGTATCCATTTGGGGGGGGAGGGGGAGGGGAGGTAGAAGAAATAAAAGCCATAATTTAAGACTGCCCTGAGATTTTGTTTCTTTGAATGTGAATTATTTAGCTTGCGTAAGATGTGCGTATATATATACGTACGTCTACTTTATTACCAGAGAGGAAGCAAACATATCTGAAACTCAGGTCAGCCTGAGACGTCACATCAACCTCAGTTGCACTCTCAATCCATCCAGATACTCACCGGCCATACGAACATGCAACAACGGATCCGGTTGCATTCCAGGAGACGCTGGTAACCTGGAGGTTTTGATTCTGAGCCTCTGGGTATGACAACGTATGCAAACACAACACCTGGAAGAGATCAAATTCAAGCACTGAAGCAACAATCTCTGAACACAGAGAAATGAGATCTGTGCACGCCCCTGCATATGATCACACGGTTACAGCATAGGCTTCCCCTCTGTCCAAGTGGCACACAGATATATATGTGAAAATGTTGTTGAATTCCTATAGGGAAAAAAACCCAAACAAAGCACATGACCCTCCCAAACCAACTGTTGCTTCATAATTACATCTCACAGACTGCACACTTCAGGGGCAGTCTGGAAGGCTGTGCCTGTCAGATTTACAACAGCCCCCAGGTATGTGTCTAGCACTCGCTAAGCTTCACAAGCAATGGTCTGAAAATGACTGTACCAACACGTACTCACTGATACAAATTGCTCCCACTCTTGAGCACTGTACGCTAAACAAATACAATCTAAATAGGAAGAGCTGCTGAATCACTGCCTGCAACTGTTCCTAGATAACTGCTGGTCTGGCAGCTCTAAAGGGGCTACCAGATGCTGAAGATAAGCCTACACCAACTGCAGGCTTCCTTCTCACAAAGCTGCTGCAACACTGTCACGAGCAGGAAGAGCAGTTTCACCAAGCAAGGTCAGACCGCGAGCAAGGGAGAAAGGTGGAGAACAACAATGAGTAATTTCTAATAATTAGAATCTGGAAAGAACAATCACAGCAGTAAGAAATAGAACTAACAAGTCAGAGCCACTGCAACCAGCTCTGCTTGGGTAACAACAAGGATCTGAATTCTGTCAACTTACTGTTTCGTTCTGATCTGTCCAGTTCACTTCATAGCCATCAAAGGCATGGCTCTTCCAGTTTTTATTTAGCTCTTTGATAACAGCATCCTCCACTCTCTGAAGGAATGACAGAAGGCTAGTGGAATCTACTTGGACTTCTTTCTGGAAGTCTTGGACACCATCTTTACTTTGATCTGTCTGCACACTGGCATCTCGGCTAGTATGAGACTGCACTGCAGTTTCTGCTGTTGAAATTTTCCCAGTCTGGCAGCTTTTCTAGTAAAAGGAGACAGACAATCTATAATCCAAACAGAAAATAAAAAACCGAAAAAGTGTCCTGCACAAAACATTCAAAGCATCTTCCCCTTTCTGGCATTTCATAGAGACATTCAAGCACATTTGCACACCTCTGGTTCATGGTTAGAAGCGGGGTGCCTCCGTAACTGGGTGACGTATTTGTGACCTTCACATGATGGGGCATGAGACAGAGATGCCTGAATGCCAGGCAAAGTCTGGCCATGTGCTCTACAGCACGGAATGGGGAGGGTGAGAGAATTGCAAAAGGCATGGAGCCTCCAGAGGAAACAGCAAACACCGAACATGGTAACAGATGCGGTGCTATCAGCTCTGAAGCTACGAGCTCTGTGGCAGCTGCACGTGTGTTTCTTTGCCAGTTGGTATAAAGGGCCTAAATGAGTAAAACGCCGCAAATGGGCAGGCCCCGGGTCCTCCTACCGCCGGCTCGGCCCCGGGCACCGGCAGGGATGCAACCGCCCCGCGGGGAAGGTCTCCGTCCCGGGCCGAGCTGAAGCAGCGGGACCTGCGGGGGGGGTCACCGACGGGCCCGGAGGGGACGAG